TTTTGTAGTAGTAAAAACGAGTCTATCTTACCGATATTGTCATTTTCATCATTTTTCTCCACCATACCGTCAAAACAATTTAGACGCTTCGTGTTATTTCAATAATTTGTCAACCAGTATTAAGTGTGTTTGTATCAGAACCAGCCCATTCATTTATTCCTTCTCTTCTAAAAATCCTTTCGTTTTGTTTTATTTCAAGTGTCTTTTTTGTTTTGATTACTTTAATGATTATCAATTTATCACAAATAATTACATTAAATTACTCAAATTTGAAGTTAAAAATAGCGTGCATTTTTTTCACTATTTAAAAAAAATTTCGAAAAAAAAGCAACCTTTGATTGTAGAATAACTAGTTCAAACATTCTCATTAAAAGCTGTTCAAAAAAAGTATATGTGACAAAACTGTCTCCTGTAATTCAAAAGCGTATTATTTATAATAATCCATTAAAAATATTTCAATTTTGCATTGCTAATTCTGTATTTTATTTATCTTTTAAATTTTTTCGGAAATAAGCAAAATTTTCTATAATGCAATTTTTTTTCCAAATTACTTTAACTCTTATAATTTTTTTCGTCTTTATCTCTCAGAACTGTTTTCATTTCTGATAAATAATTTCGGAACGAAATTATGAGTGATGCGAGAACGAAAAGAAAAAAAAAAAGTTTGACTTTCTCAATAACTTTCCGACAAATTGATGTTATAGGAATTAAACTTGTTTCCAAATAATGTCAACAAATTTTCTTTTTCCAAACTGTGGAAATATAACATCCTTAAACAATGATTCACACTATGGCGTAATAAGCATTCCCAAATTTTCCGGTAAAGATTTCGTTAATCAATTCTCATACAATGACAGTGTCACTTGAATCTATTGTTACAAATTTTCCTCTTATGAACTTCTCACTTCGTGTCATGATGAAGAATTTAAAAATTTATATCCTTCATTGTAACAATTCGAATTTAATTAAAAATAGTATTAATTTTAAGGAAATTTAATCTGCATTTTATTCTTTACCTTTCTTTATCACCGAAAAATTGGATCAATTTTTATCATTATTGTAGTAATTATATCAGTCAATGAATTTGAATAAAAATATACAATAAGCTGAAAATGAAGACGAATAATTTTTCATTTCATTCCTCATACCTTACCTTAACAAAATTGTTTGTGAAGGAAGTGGAAAATCCGGTTATGTGGCATTAGTATAAGAGTATACTTTGAAATATTTCAAAAGATTGTAGTACAGCTTGAAAGTACTGAAATAGCAAGAGATATTACAGCATTTTATCAATATTTGCTGTTTCAATGTCAGTATAATTCATTTTACATATTTCGACAGTTATGTAAAATTTGAGGAGAAGTAATGTTTTATTGCGTATAAATGTTTTAACTTTTGAAGTTCCTAATCCATTTTTTTTTTAAATTATTCTCCAACATTTTATTTTTTGATTCAATGTATTAGTATATCAAATTGACATGGATTGCTTACCTAATTTTTACTTTCACAGCAATTGATTACTTTGACAATTAATGTTTCATGCTTTTTTTCAAAAAAATTTCTTGAAAAATTTCAAAAAGACTGCAAAAAAAATCTCTTTTATTATGATGGAAATATGTGCATATTAGACTGAAACGATGATTGATATCATATATTGGATAGGTTACGTTCCGTAAAATCATAACTTCTATCCATTACTGTCGAAGATAATGTCTACATTTTTTCATTCGAATTTCTATTTACTTTTGTCAAACTTTCATTTATTTATTTTTGATTTACATAAAATTTTTGGAAAAAAGATAAATTTCTTGACTTGATCAGACTTGATCATTGCAGATCTATTCTCACGACTAATTATAAAACAATCTATTTGCAGCGATTATAAATCCAGAGAGCAATGTATAATCAAGAAAATCAAGGTGATAAGAGAATTAATGAGCAATTCGCCCTATCACTACCATATGATAATACTATTGAGGATAGATTATATAATAAATCAATAAAACTATCTTATCCTTATTCAGACGAATGTTTTGAAGCAAATAAGCAATCTCTGGATGATTCTGATCAGCTTCTAAATCAAACCACACCGGTTAGCTTACTATTTTATATACTTTGTTAAATGATTTTGAAATTTCATGTAACTTATGAGTTATTTTCTACAAAATAGAAATATTTAATCTAAAAGAAATAAAAATAATTAAATTTATTAATTTGATTGAGCTATAGCTTTAAAACAAAATTGAATTCTCAATATCAAAATGAATTTTTTTGCAGATTCTACAATCAAATTATGATCAGTCAAGTGCACGCCCTAGTATTGATGATTCCGATTTGATTGATGATTCAATCAGTGGTACTTTTTCTTTATCCGTAATAATAATTCTGGTTTAAATTATTTCCAATTAGAAACAATCAAGTATTTGAAAAAATTATTTATTCATAAATGCTTTAAAATTTGTCACACTTTTTTTTCGTTATTACAATTTGTTCTTGACGAAATCCATATGAAAATATACAGACTTCCAGAAATATCAATACGAAACTTATGGTAGATAAATTGAAAGGAAGAATCTGACATGATTGTGTTTGATGTGTAATCAATCATATATTAGTAGTAGTAATAGTACTAAAAACGAGACTATTCTTTTACTTTAAAATTTTAAACAAATTAAACTGATCATTTGCTTAAGATATGAAATCTCCAACGAATTACTGATTATTTTTTGCTTTAAGTAAAAATAGAATGAACAAAAATGATAATATTGTAGTGGCGCAATTGTCAACAACTCCGATATCAGTTACATCAGCGTCAACGTCATCCTTCTGTCCGACACTTAATGTCGGTAGTGGAGAGGAAATTAATACAAAATATGCAAAGTGTGTTTTATACTTTTACATGTATCACTTCAAAGCTTTCTTAGAAACAAAAGCTCCAGACAATATTCAGCAGTAAATAATGCTTACAAGTTTTGCAATCGCTAGTTACACCTGGAAATTAAATCTTTGACCAAACACTCTGATCATTGTTATTTAGAATTGAGCAGTTACAAGGAACCAAGAATGATCAAAGTAGTAATTTGCGGGTCAGTGACAGATATAAGGTAATTTTCATAATTTTAAAAATCTTACTTGTAAATTTAGTGAAATCTTGCTGTAAGTTTGCATATGATAATGTCCATTACTTAATAAAATGAACAGTCAAGCAATCATGTGTTGAATAACGAATATCAAAATTTGAGTACTTATTTTTGTATTGTTTTATCAATAAATTGGAGTAGTAGTTGATAAGGATGAATGGGCTAAAATTTCATTCTTGAAGGTAGCTATTGTTAACTAAATTAAAACTTTTTAGAGACATATAGCTGTAAAGAGTCGGTTAAACGAATTATGCGACATAATTGAAAGGAAAGATAGACAGCTGCGAATAGTTCGAAATGGACTTAATGAGAAGGATTTGGAAATTAGAAAGTTGTATGATAGGATTAGAGCTCTGGAATATAATTGTGGAAGATTACAATCGGTGATTGAATCTGTTGGGTTTGTTCACTTTTATTTCTTTGTTAAATTTTACTTTAATAATCTAAATTTGGAAAAGCAAAATAATTCTACTGTTAAGTAAAGAATGTGTAAATTTAAAACTTCCCAATTTATTCTTTATTAAAATCTTTCCGTTCAGTCTGTTTATACGATTTGTGAAATTTTCTTTTTACAAATTTAAAGGAATTAAAAATAGAAAGTTAATGTGGAATTAATTGAGCAACGAAGTGAATCAGCATTACAAAATGAAATGACTCATGATGAGATCAAAGAGGACAATTTCTGATTTATGAAATTTCTGTGCAAAGAGACATTTTACATCAGTATGATTAATTCATGTTCGATTCAACTTTATCATTTCTTCTCATGTGCTATTAACAATCGGTAGATTCTTTAGATTAAGCGATATATTAAATTGATTTATTTATCATTCATTATAATGTCAGATTTTATTTCTTTCACAAATTTATACTATAACTTCGAATATTCTTTCCTTTTATGGTAATAAATTGCAGTGATGAATCTGATCAAAATCAGATAAAATTGCAAGAAATTATTAATGAACGTGATGGTTTGCTTGTTAGGAACGCTTCACTTTCACGACAGGTATATATAACATTGATCAGATCAAAATATTGATTTAGCAAAAAGTTAAGTAAATTATAAATATACGAATAACTTTGAAATGATAATTCTTTGCTTGATATAGTTAAATATTTATTTAAAGTAGAGGATAATATTTAAGAAGTCAGTTTTATTTATCATGTAATCATCATGTAATTTGCTATTTTTCACAGCTCTCATCAACTATTCCTCTGTTTATCAAATTTTTTAAAAGATAATTTTTATTTGAATTAGTAATTTGCGTATAGTTTTTTTAGTTAAATGTAACATATCCATGATACTGGCAATAAAAATGATTGTTGCAGATTGAATTCGAGAAACGAGAATGGTCTATTGAGCGAGAACGTCTTTCAATGGATCTTGATGATGTTACCAGAGAACTTGAGTTGCAAAAAATGATTTTAAATGGTGAAAATATCTCAGAAATTGTTCAACGAGTAAGAAAGATTTTCAAAACATTCTTCTAGCGTTTGTTTGCTTTTTTTGTTTGTTGTTTTTTTTTTAGTGAAGGAGAAGCATATTGAGCAGGAAGTAGGCAAAAAAAGATGTCTTATTAATAATAAATTTCGTTATTTCATAGTAGTGATTTATATCATAAATTTCACTAAAGTTGAGATTCTTACATTTTAAAGAGAATTTTTTATAAATATAATCAAATTTAATAAAAATTTGTTGAAATTCAGTGGCAAACGAAAGTGTTTGAATTGGAAGGAATGATAGCTGATCGAGATCGTGCGATACGTGCTCAGCAAGTTCGAATCAGTAAATTGAAACAATCATTAGCAGAAATTGATCGTATTTCTTGTGATTCATTCGAATCACAAACAAAACTTGATTCCTCCTCGTTCACCTATGTAAAACATCTTCTCTTACAGTATTTTACTAGGTATAATTATTAACAATTGTGAAATCATAACGAAAAATTTCTATTATTGCCTCATTTACACATATGTTATTTAATTTAGCAAATTAAATTTAGATATTGATAAATCTTAAATTTTAGTATATTCTAAATTTTGTTTTTTGAAACATCATTAAATATTTAGTCCAAGAATGCTAAGGTAACAGCACCACTGAATTTATCATTTTGTCTTCACAAATAGACCAGATCATAGAATATAAATTTTTATTCAAATAGACAAATATACGAAATTGAATTCTGATTAAAAAATTAAAAAGATGATTGGAAATTTAGCATTTCAGTTCGGATGAAGAACGAATGCAGATATTACGAAATTTATCAAGTATGCTTCATCTATCAGATGAAGAACAACGTCAAATATGGGCAAATTTGAAAAGCAAAAACAACATTTCCTAAGCTATTTTCCATTATCAATAAATAATCGATAATTATATCGAGAATTGATAACCACCTTTTGTGTTTAAATAAATTTTTTATTGTTAATCAGTGAAATCTTTCCTTCTTATTTTTCATTTTTCGCTTAATTTTTCACTGTTTTAATGCAAAACTTACAAAATTAACATTTTTCAAAGAAAAAAAACCTGCACATTATAACAAATTTACGCAAAAATATTTGGAAAGATTCCCCTAATTATAAAAATAAACATTTATTATTTAAAAAAATAATATAGGAAGATAGAAATTTTGTTTTTTTTGCCCTCTTTGATATGAGATTTTTATTTTGGAATAAACTATGTTTGCTGTGTTTCTCTCGAAATTTTTAAAGAATGAAGTAATTCCATTGAATCGCTGGACAACATTATTTTTTATGGTTAGGCCTACATAATATAATATTTACCAGACCAGCGATCAAAATAAACAAAACAGAACAGATCCGATTTCAAATTATGCTTAGATAAAAGGTTTTAACTGCTGAAAGTTCACGGTTTATCAGTCCACATATATTTGCAGCATAAAAAGATAAAGAAAAGAGAAGACACATATGAAAGAGGTACAATTTTTAAAGATTGAATTAAAAAAAAACTGAGGATGAAATGCAAATAATATAATAATAAATCATGACAATAATCAATTATTACAATTTATTATTATATTATTTGAAAAAAAAAATTAAAATATTTCACCGGATGACATTATTTTCATTAATGTTGTCCCTAATCAATCTGATTATAGAACGGTTAATGTTGCCAAGTAAAAAATTAAGACGAATAAGATAACTTTATCTTTTTAGTTTTTCAATTTCTTTAAATTTTGACATCAATTTTAGTAATGGTACTTTATAAAATAAATTTATTCAACAAACAATAGAAGATATTTCAAAAAAGCATATAATTCGCAATACAGTTTTATTGATTAGTAATTCAGTGAAAATGATTGAATTGTTAGCATATAACTGTTAGCAGTACTGCCACTGTTAAATAATTTTTTATTGTATTATTTTCAGAATTTAATCTTATTCTTAACTTTACTTTTTTGATTACATAAATCAAATAATTGGCATTAATAATAAGTAAGAAAGAATGAGAGAGGAAAAAAAAACAATACTGATAAAAAATATTTGAGCAAAAGTGATTCATATTGAAAATCGATGAATAGTTTCAACAGTTACTTTGTTGATGAAGTTTACGGATACTCATTGATCGTTGTTTCCTCATGTAGCCTAATGTCAAAAGATCACGAAAACATCGCCGGAAATCATGATTATACATTGTATAGATTATTGGATTCAATACCTGCAATATATGTTAAAATTTCCATTTAAAAATTAAGATAAATATTATATTAAATTAGCATTTTATTCAGAAATTCAACGATGCAATGAATCTTTTTTAATTGCTATCTTTAAAAAAGTTCAAGATTTTTCGTTTTTTTTTTCTTTTTTTAAGTAAAAACTAACAGAATTTGAATAGCCTAGCCATAGGAATACTTCTTTTGTTGTATACATGATCTCATTAGGATTGCTCACCAGTATTTCGATCAGGTAAATTACAAAGAATGGAAACCAACATATTGAAAATGCTGAAAGTTATTGAATTTAATAGGATGTACCAGTTAGTGCCAGTGTTAATTAATTGAAACTTTGTTGAAATTTGACAATTTTTAGACTTGTAAAAAAGCACAAAGCATTTTTGATAAGCAACAAAAAATCAGGAACCTAATAGAATACTAAATTATTTATTAAGTAAATTAACTTATGGTTATATAATTCATATTGGTCTAAATTTATCAATTTCACATTTTCTATTTTTTATTTTTTTAAAATTATTTTCATTATATCAGACATCAAATTAATTATAAGTGAAGAAAATACCGAAAAAAAGAATGGCAATCGTTTTTAGAGCTTTTCGTTCTTTCATATAAACAATTTTCTCCTTCGAATTGTTAGTAAATTTGCCAGGACCATAAGTTTGATAACGATCATGAGCTTTGGATAACAAATAACGAGGCTGTAGCTTGAGGTGACAATGTTGTGCTATTTTGGCTAATGTTAACACATTTCCATCATCAGTATCCATTCGATTTGCAGATGACTGAAATGCAAAAATCCGTCAAATATATGGGACAAGCTTGATTCCTCATATAATTAATTATTGCTAAGCAAATTTGCATCATTTCTCCTGGCTGATTAACTTTTGAATTGATATCTTCCTTGTGATATTTTATGTAATATTAAATTGAATTTTGAATTGTAATCCAATTCTCTCAGTTATTATTAAAGAGTTCAATCGTTGACATAATTTTTAGAATGTAAAAAAAGTATAAAGCATTTTTGATAAGTGACACAAAAATTGGAAACCTAATAGAATACATGATAATTTTTTAAGTAAATCAAGATATGGTTGTATAATTGCTTAAATTTATCGACTTTACATTTTTCAATTGAAAAAATTTTTAATGTATAAAATGTTTGAGATGTATTAATGTCTGATGAGTATACTAACATTCATTTCTGGATAATAATTCATCCTAATGACATGAAAAATTAACTTTCATCTTTCAGTTTTAGTGCAAATAAATCAGTGAAAATATTTAAATCACTAACACTTAAATATGTGTTTAATATTTAGAATTTAAAAAAAATTAAAGCATTATTAAATAGCAAAAATGTTCAAAGCAAAAGACCTTTAATTGATTATTTGATGCTATTTCACAAATGGGTGAATTTGATTTAAGCGGAGATATGCCAACACTGATAGTACTAAACATTAAATCATGTGTTGTTTGCTTTTCAGACATTGATTCTTCTTCCGAATATAGCATATCATTTGGTTGTGAATAATAACGTTCATTGCTATTCCTATAAAATTATCGCTATTAATTTGGAATGCACGGAATTAAATTTCATTCCAATTATCGAGAAAGGCGTTTTTTTTCTTTCATTTCAACATTTTAAAAATAATCATTGTTATTTATGATAGCTCATATTCTATAAAATTATCTTGATTTTTGTTTAAGTTTTACTAATTTTATTTTAATCTAGTAACAAAAATAATAAACATACAAATTTTCAAAATCGAAATATTAGTAAGTTTAAATCGCCATAACTATTTTCATTTTCCACTATCATTCGGAAATTATTTTGTTATCCAACAACTGAAGGCTAACTAATTGTTATTGCTACCAATCACAACTGTTGAACATTTGTCATAATTTTGAATATTAACTTCGGTGATAAAAAAAAAAAAAGAAATTGCATAACTCGAACTACCATCATCAATTCCGATCTATTTTCTTTTATTATGATACGGATATTTTTCGCTTGTTTCACAGAACCCAAACAGATATAGTACCTAATCTCTCTTTGCACAGAATCACTGTATAGCAATGTAAGAAATGATTTTTATAGATAACTAGATTAAAACTGTTGTAATCAGTAAATGATGATACTAAAATTATTGCACTTATTATTGATGATAATTATTGAAAATAGAAATTGAAGAAATGGAATTATATTTTAATCTGAATGGGAACAATTTTAATTTAACCTATCTCTGCTTTGGTTATAAGAATGATTTTTAGTTGATCTGTCATGTGATTTCAAATTGATACTCTTCCACAAAACTTTTTCGCGTGTAGATATAATTCGGAATATTTTGCAGTACACCGAGCACATCAGCTAAAATAAAAATAGTTTCAAAAAACTACTTCACTATACAAAAAACTACTTCACTATATTAAATTTCTTAATTTTCAATTTGTTTGATAAAAGAAAATAATTCATGTGTTTGAAATTAATTAAATTTTAATCTAGAAGTTTTTCGTTACTACTTAAAAATAAATTTAGCTGCATATATGTATGTATACCAAAAGTGGTATGAAGAAGCTCGCCATGGAGCTATATATTCGATACATAATACCACTGGGATAATCACAAACGATCATATCCAAACATGAATTGGATCCAAAAATATTCATACGAGCAGTTGTAGGATAATCATCAAAATGAAAAATCCATGGTGGTGTACATACTATGAATGAGATCAACCAAACTGAGCCCAATAATAAAGCAGCTGTTTTACGATTTCTATAAAAATATAACAATTGTTATTAACATTTGTTAATATATATGCAAAAGTTCAAAAAATTTTTGATAAAATCATTTTGATGTACTCTGATAATTCTGATAGGATCATTTTATTTTATTAAATTTATTGCATTGAATATAGTTGTAAGGTGAAGAAACAGTGGATGAAAAAATATTTGAAATGTTAATAAGAATATAAATTTTTTTGCAAATGATAATATTTTAGGATTTTTTTGAAAATTCTTCATTTCATCATCTTCGGACTCTTGCTGTTATTTAATCTTGAAAGTTTCGTTTAGCGGAAGTTTTTGCAGATTAGACTAACACTAGCAATTGATTGCAATTTCAGATGAATGGACTGAGCGTTATAAAAATAAATATATTTGCACTTATGTATAATTTTCGATGTGTTGCAAGCTGCTATCAATCTTTCAGCTGTTTGCATAAATACATGCTTGACATCGCTAACACACTATCCGAGATGTTTACAATCGAATCATTTTATCAATACCGCATCCAATTATTCTTGACTTTATTTTTATGCAATTAACAATTGTTATTTTTAATTTTTGACTAAGAATTTAGTTTCATGGTTAAAAAAAAATTTTTTTTTGAATGACGTCTTATTAATTAAGCATTAAAATATTAGAAATTAAAATACCTTGTTCGAGAATATTTTAATGGCTTAGAAATTGCCAAATAGCGATCAATTGATATGACACAAAGATTAAGTATGGATGCTGTGCAGAAAAGGACATCGCTCGTTGACCAAATTTTACATAATAATGTATCGAATGGCCAAGCATGATTTAACAGTAAATCCAATAGCGATAATGGCATTACAAATAGGCCAACTAAGAGGTCTAAAAATTTTAAACTATTTTCCAGTTTTATTAACTTTAAATGTTTTATTAACTCAAATATCATGGATGAAGTGCTGTCGTTTTATGAACTTAAATTTAAAGATATGAGATTTACATTAAATTTAATTTTAAATTCCATTATTTTATAGTATTTTCATCGCAATTAATTATTTATTTCGATTGAATAGAACTTTTCTCAAATTATTTGCAATAAAATTGGAAAATTTCACTATGGATATCTTGATAGTACCATAACAGAAATATCAAAAAAGAACAAAATGAATGTATATTCCAAAAGTTTCATTCAAGAAACTAATATGAAACATTATTTGCATATTGGTCAATTGATCTTAATCGGAATAGATTAAATGTGAGCCAAATTTAGAATTGAAATACTTTTGAAATAAATATGGGCTAACAATAGCTATAATTAGTGTGATATCATATTTCGAAAGTTGACTGATCATAATAATGTTAGAAAAAGTTATTTGCTTCATCATCTAAGCAAAAATCTACTTCCTGAAATAGCACATTAATGCTTTTTCAATTTTAATAGCCTACTATTTTACACGAATAAGCTTACCAGCAGTGGCAAGTGATGTTAATAACTTATTTGTAAATGTTCTCATACGCTTGTAGATGATTACTGATAGTATGACAAATGTATTACCAACTACCACAAAAAATATCAGTATGATCTGAAAAGAAAGTAATCAATTTCGAAATAGAATGATTTGATCACATGAACGTAAAAAATCTAATTCTTACAAACTCAATACATTTAATTAACAGATCGACTTTTTTACCTAAATAATGCAAAATTTTTATGAAAAAAGCTATTCTATTTTTTTCCAAAAATTATTCAACAAAATTACAACTCTTAGATAAATTGTTCCATTCTACAATTTGTTTGAAAGAATGAAAGAATATTAAAATAGATACTGAAATGATAAGTAGCCATACCAGAACAATGGCGATGATAATTTGATGGACATTCAAATATGATGATAATCTTTCTATTATAGTACAATTCGTCATGACAGAAATTGTTATTACTGTTTCGATGATACTGTTGCTATCACGGTTATCATAACTGTTAGAATTGTTTAAAAACAATATTTCTTAAATTTCGTGAAATTTATATTGAAACACAACGTTGACATCCTTGCTGACAATTCGTCAATTTCCTTTAAATTCATTAAGCCAATTAGATAGTTGAAAAGAATTTTACAACAGAAAAAAAAAATGAAATACTTCTTCTAGAAGCAGCGCGGATTTACCATGATGAATATTTTAAAACATTCATAAACTTTCCGAGAACTAAATTTTTTTATTTTTCTTAAAAAAAATTCTTTTAGAATTTTGCATGATGAAATTAATGAACATTTTGTGACTTCCAAAAAGTTTATCAAAAATAAATGTATCAGATTGCTAAGAAAAAATTTCTTTAAGCATTTTGTAAATTATTATATTCCTGAAAATGAATAATTAGACAACAGTAAACGAATTCATTTACTCTATCTACTTGAAAATAATGGAAAAGAAAAAAAAAACACCTATCCATTTGAAAGTTTCACTTGAACAAAAAAAAACATTTGAAACAAAAGAAATATAGATATATTAATGAAAAATTATAAGAAGCTTAATAAATATTGGAGATATTAAACAGGAAACAACGAAAAGGGAAAATATTTAAATTGATAGAAATAAGGCAAATTAATATTCATCTTCTCTTAGATATTATCAGGCATGATAAACTTTTTGAATAATTATTTCTGTTGTAAAAAAAGGTTAAAGATATCTTTAAAAAAAAGGAAAAAAAATTATAGATATACCAATAAGATTTATTTTATAAATATACCAAAAAGCAAAAAACTTACTATTGTTGTGATCGTTAATGACATTTCTCTGAAGATTTAGTTTACAGTATTTTTCCACTCATTTTTTTTTTTAGTCGAATATGTTAAAAACACATATATTTTACTTTATAGAAATAAGTATTGAAATTTTGTATGAAACTATGTTGTGATTAGCCATAACTCTTAAGGCCTCTATTTAAATAGTGAAGGATAGGATAAATTATTGACTAAAAGTTTGATAACGATAGAAGGAAAATTATCATGGTAAAAAACGAAAAAATTTGCCATGTTTTAGTACTAAAGTTATAATAAACAACATTCTTCAACAAGAATCAATCAAAAAAAAAGAAGGAAAAGAAAGAAATCGGGGGACAAAGTCCTAATAACAATCAAATCACTGCATTAAGTTAAACTAAACTTTCAAATTTCTGACAAAATATCACTTTACGATTTTGTGCTTTATCTATACAATAAATTTCCACTTATTCCTTATCTGAAATTTCAAAAAATTAATATCTAAATTAATAGAAAAGAAGTGAAAAAAAAAAGAAAAATAACGAGGAAAATTTTCACGGAAAAGCCATCCAAAAGCCATTATGAATGGTAACGTGTGACGATTTCATAAGTCTCGTGAGAATATAGCGGGAATTTATAAAATAATTAAGCATGAAATATGTTTTGCAATCGGATTGCAATTTGATTAAAAATAGGATTTCCTATTATCAATTCTAAGCAAGCTAGAAGAAAAATGAGAATTGAAAAATAAATCAAACTTATCAAAACATTTTTCAGTAGTCAGAGTAAATAAAGAAGTAATAGGATAGACATTTCTCTTCGTTAACCATTAATTACTTCTCTAAAATCACTTTTAATTATTTTGCTGAAACTCTTAATCTGTTCTAGTTCATTTGAATATAAGTGATATATAAATATGATTCTTGTAGATGTTTTAAAAATGAAGTGGAAAAAAGCTCAAGCATCAGTAAAATATATGTTCGGGCTAATGATAAATTTGCACTTAATATTTTATAAAGAGAAAAAGAAGAATATTAAGTGAACACATTAAAAGTGAATATATCTTTTCTATTCAATTTTAATTTTTTCGAAAATTTTTTCGGCATTTTTTACAACGCTTATGAAATCCAGAAAAAAAAATTCAATATTGAGTGATTTTTTTTTTAAAATAAATTTTATCTTCTGCTCAATTTCCCAACACAAAAGCAAAGGTAAAATTGAGAAAATATTATTCATTTTTTAAAAGAAGCAGTTTATAGTAGCAATAATGTTTCCAATGGTATGCTCCGTACAATTTTAATCGTAATTTTATTAAAAGGGACGAAATTAAATTGAAAGTATACGGATCTGTAGATAATCATCAAAAAAGAAAATAAGTAGATTTTGTCATCGTAATTTTTGCAATTTCAGAAAAGCTAAAAAAAAAAAAAAAACAATTTCATTCAATTGAAAAGGTTACCAGGCACTATCGTTATGGACTTAGTTACATTCCAAAAGTAGAAGAATTGATTAAAACTCAGCTAAGCAAACTCTAACACATCAATTTATTCCTCAATGAACACAGTTAATGATCTATTTCTGCTTCTTTAAGTAACATAAATTTCAAATGATAGAATATCGTCGATTCATTTTATTTTTCCCAAAGTCTTCAAATTATTTTCATCCTAACTTGTTTTTTCGAAAAAAAAAATGAGTGCTTTAGCTTCAACTGAAACTTTGACTGCCGGATATGAATTCTTAAAAAATATAAAAGTGAAAAATAAATAAGGAAGGGAAAGAGTAGAGGAAGGGAGAGGAAAAAAAAAACTTATGGAAACTGTTATTTTCATTTTCACTGAAAAGGTTGACTCTGTTGAAGTTAGATTAAGATAAAATTAGATTCTTTTGTTTAAAACAAATTTCATCGCTTTTTTTTATAATCGAAAAATAAAAAGAAAACAAAAATGTCACGAAATGACTGCAACTTAATTTATCTCAATGCACTAAAAAGAAATTTAAAAATGGAGTATGATATCTTTTGCAGATAATTTCCGAATTATATTTCAACTATATGAGAACAATGATCATTAATGCTTCAGCCTCAGCCAAACTGCATTAGCAAGGCCTCTTTCGCATTTCTGTGATTGAAATACGTTAGGTTTATTCAGACTCTCCATCTCTCTCCACTTCAATTTTAGCTTGAAATATATGGCTTGCCTATCCAAAATATGATCGATACAATTCAGATATAATTTCTGAAAGAGGAAGGGAAAAAAACCCAACACAGTGTGACACATTTCTAAGAATTCCATAACATCAAAGAAGTTAGCACATTCATTGAGACATCAGAAACAATCGCAAAACAGAATCGCAAATGATTGTTATGATTTGAAATATGAAAGAAGTTTACAACTGTTATCTGATAGCTTAGACAAAATAACTTCACTTCATATATGTTTATTGGCATAGCAAATCAGATAAATGTTTCATTTCTAACGAAAAAATTTCGTTTGTCAATGCAAAACAAATACTCAAAAAGTTTTTAACATGCCATAATTGCAATAAAATTATAATAATATACGTTTTTTTCATTTGACTTTCATTCCTTCCTTTAATTGAAAATAAATCGTAAAAAAAATTTTTTCGACAATACTGCATAGGAAATTAAATTTAAAATATGCTCAATTTTCGCCAAATGAGCTTGAAACACGGAAATAGGGAAGTTGAACTTTTTTTCTTCTTCTTCTTCCTGTTTCTGCCAAAGATAATGCTTCCACCACAAACAAGTAAAGTATTTGCAAAAAAAGCTCATAGTTAAGCATAATACTGTTGAAAAGAATTTCGCATGATATTTATAACATATCATTTTATTTTTAGGATTTTGAAAAAAATTTTGTAAAGTGATATGAAATTATTACTCAAAAATAAAACTATTACTCAAAGGATGCTAGGAAGTAACAAAAAATTAGTGAAATCTATTAGCAATCTCATTCAAACTTTCTTCATCTATATGTTGAAAAAAAAAGACCATTTCAAAATGATTACACATCCAAAGGTCAAACCGAAGTGCAATAAAAATGAAACAAAAAAAAAAAAGAAAACATGTCAAGAATTGATAGAATAAATAATCCATGCGTGGTTTCCAATAAAACAGGCCAAAAAAAAAACACTTTGGTGCTGAATTCGTCCACTCAAAAACTTTTTACAAACTCTTTCGACGCTTTCATGCATTTAAATTTCCACTGCAATTTGATAAATAAATAATGGCTGAAGTTATGTTCTGCAATCGCTACTAAACGTGATGGTTTGTCTTTTCACAAAATTATATTCAAATTTATTCTAATTTATAGTAAGTACATCACAATAATTGGCAGATCAAAAAAAAAGTAAATATAACACAGCTCCAAACAATTTTTTGATGTTCATCCTTAAAAGAAAAATATCTATCTCCAAGTTGAATTTCTATTTGAAATTGATAACAAAATTGATAGCGAAATTTTGACTGAATGATTAAAGCAACCCGTTTATAATTTAGAATAACAAGCAAATCAACGATCCAAAACGGGATTGATGAAGGAATTGGTCAGATGTCATTAATAAAATATTCAAGCTGTCATTTCAATTGGTGATAACGTCAAATTTTCATTTTGGAATCACTTTTTTTCCGGAAAATTGATTTTAAGAATAAGAAGATCTGCAAATGTGGAAAATTTAACATCCAACGTTAAAATATGCACGATTATCGCTTTTAATACAACGCAAACATATAGCACAAACTTTCTTACTGATTCATCTGTCAGTTATTGCAGGAAATTAATTTTGCATATTCCGATGATTCAATGTTAATACAATCAAATTTTGGCATAAAGTTAACTTGTAAAATAGAAAATATAATAAGTTATAAATATATCACCATATCACCTCTGAGTAATAGTATTCAATTTTGGTGCTATAGAAATGATATTACAACAATGGTAAACATAAAAGTAACAAGTACAATATAAATCGTCCAGAAACTCCACAAATTCCATGTTGCAAAGCAAAACCTATAAAATCATATCTTAGTTCAAAGTTGATAAATAATCAAAGTTGATAATTTCATTTAATAAGTTGATAAACGGCAAAACAAATAAAGAAAAACAGAATATGTGAAAAAGCAAGTGAAGTAAACTTCTTTTACATAAAACTGCAAAAGTACGCAAAAGATGCTCAAATTTTCCTTTTATCTATATCATTTTAAATGCCAGAAATGAGGCATTAGTATGGAAGTTTTTAAAGTCTAGAATTCTGGAAACTTACGCTATGCAAGAGAACACGAATAGAATAATAGCCAGAAAGAATAATTTCGGATAGATTTTGGGCCATTCATTTGCTGAATTTTTATCACTTTTTGAGCACAGATATAAGCCAATCAAGAGAAAACTTAGCTGACAAAGTATTGAACAAGACAAGAAAAACCTGGAATAAAAAAAAAAATCGTTTTCTAAAAAGTGTAATTTGACGCACGCATGCGAATAAATTGAAACATGCATGGATAGAGCAGTAAATTAAATTTAGAAAGAGGCGCTTAGTTATGTCGTAAAATATTATTGCATAATTGAGGGTACATGTTTTTAACCCAAATATTGGATAAATTGGGTAAATATTGGGCAAATTTTATGCAAAACAGAAATCAGAAATTGCAACTCACCAATCAACTCGAGGATCAATAAATAATGGTAATGGAAGCTCAAAATACCACACAGTTAGAATAAACGAACAACACCAAAGAACATCATCTACCTATAATTATGAAGATATTAACATTAGGCAATCCTATAATTCATTATTTTACTTTATGAAAGAAAAATAATTTTACCTGTAAATTACGTCTTTGTTTGATTTGATAATCATTCCGACGAATATTTAACAATGAAAATCCAGAATCAAACGATTCTGTTATATAATTTGCATCCAATCGTTGCCTGTTATGAAATGCTCGCCATGTTTCAGCATTTCTCAGTCGATAATTTTGAAATGCCATACAGTGATAGTATCATCACATATCCAAGAAAAATTAACGAAACATCAGCAAATTTTGCCAAAAAAAATCGAAATTTCTAGCCATTTAATACTTCTCAGATTTGTATAATCACAATATTTCACATGAATAAAGAAATATTGTTTGAATAAAATACGATAAAGTAAACCATCTTTACTGCAAATTTAAAATTTAAAGAATTATAAAAAGCCTACTTAATGGTAAGCTAAAATTAATTAAAGAAAGCCTATTCAATAGTAAGCTAAAATTGGCATAAAGTCCATATCTCCTAGCGTAAATTACTAGTGACATTAACGTAGTGACCAATAATAATTGTTTATGTATCAATTCAATTTCGATATCATCACTTTTCATGCCCAGTAATTCGATGAAATAATGCGATATTGAACTCATCACAATATTGCATGTCTTTATCAACTCTAATCAAGGTATACAACACAAATCCCGTTTCCAACAGTGAATAAATGTTCAAATAAAAAATTAAACGCTCCTCCCCTCAAACATCAGCGTCAAAACTATTCAAATACCCTATCCAGACATTCAATACTATATGATTCAAACTGCTATCCCCAAATCTTGCACGTTCTGCATGATCTTCATTCCAATTCAAACCATATCTTGAATCTGGCGCAATGCATTGATCCCTAACCCCCTGATTCAATTCGTGTTCAAATCAGCTTTCAAATTAAAATCTCTTTATATTCAGATTAAAAATTTTTCAGTACACATTGTTATATTATGATAACTGACTGTTTGACGATAACTGCCGTTGTTTTTTTTTTCGGAGAAAATCATAACGACTGCTTACTGTGAATCAGAGTATTATATACTATCAGAAGATTTCATCCCGAAATTACGTAACATACATTTGATAAATGCAATTTTGAAAAAAACGAAAAAAAAATGGAACAATAGTGTAAATTCGATAACTGAAAGCAAAATTCAAATGGAAAATAGACAACAATTAAAACAAGAAAGAAAAGAGAAATTTCGGAATAATTTCTGAAACAGCAAAAATAAAACGACTATAAGTGAGCACATTTGCTTCGACAGCGAATACTAAAATTGTAAGGAACAACAAGTCCTATGAGTTGGCAGCTTAATAGAACAAGAAAGTTCGCACAGAGCTATATAACATGTAATAAAATTTACTGCACTTAATGGTTCAAATAAAAAATTCACCTATGATTTACACAACCATTTCTATCACATGCAATATTTTATACTATCCTCTCCTGTTCAACTATAATAATTTCAAGGTTAGGATTAGGAAGTATAGATGCCTATTGAGATTCAAAAGAAACTTATATATGGTGAACTGAATGATCATTTTTGCTCTATTTTATGCATTCCATCCTGAATAACGACATACTGCACCATATGTACATAACAAATATTGCAGAAAAATGAACCTAGGAAATTATCGCATCGGAAATAAGTGAGATCGAAAAAAGAAAACAAAGTTCATCAGTGTTCCCGAAATCATAATTCATGGAAATTTTCATACTTGTTACTTACACTATAGATCTTTTTACGTGAATAACCGTATTGTTCACATAATCAAATGTTTTTACGCCGTTTTAGTGAAGAGAACACTGAAAAATGACCCGAGGCAATTATATTTAAGTCGCTAGACCAGATCTTTTTTACAATTTCGAGACATCGATTTCAAACGACTCGAAGAACGCACTGCTGATAATCCATCATCTGAAGTAAATGAAATAAATAAGAGAGTGGCAAAATCAGAGAAAGAAGATATGGTGAGTTTTCTTTTAAACAAATTGTGGATGTCGGTGTTTGAAATTCTTTTTCTCTCAGAGATCCAAAACATGGAACAGCGACATCCGCTCTGCGTTCAGGAACTATTTGCGCCTTTAGATGGATCGAAAAAAAAAACTCCTTTCTTTTCTTAGAAAAAAAACATCATAACATCTAACGATCGTTAAAAAAGAAAACGAAGAAAATTACATGAACTCTGAGTAAGCGCCGAAGCATTAACACCCATACACGGTTGTGAGGGTCGATGGGCAGCATATTCTGGACTTTGGGAACGATCAACACGATTCGAAGATCTTCGAATACGATCATCTTCTGAATTTTCTTCATCACCTTCTGAAGACGAGCAAAATGCTGATCGATTATTGTCGTTCATCAGTGAAGACCTCTGACTGTCATCATCTTCTTGACCTGCGCCGCAACTACCCACTGCTCCACTCCGATGATCTTAAATTTTTTTTTCTTTCATTCTCCGAAAAAACTTCTACCCAAATTTCTTCACAAACGGATCAAAGAAACTGATTACAGAAAAATGTAAAATGCAAGATTCTACAAACGCAACAAAAGTAAGATGAAATGAAACTAGCAGATAAATATTACTTATCCTATTCCGACTATTTGGCCTAGTATTTGCCAGACTGGGTTTCTCGTGTACGTGTTTTGCATCATTCTCGAATAATAGTGCATCAGATACGGCATCGTAGTGTTCGTTAACATCCATTAGATGATTAACTGGTGAATCCACGATTTCTTCTGAGTGCTACAATAGAAATAACATAAAAGTTGGGTAATAAAACCAGTGAAAGTAGTAAAAGCACAGCAAATACGCCAAGAAAATGCAACTTTTATATTCAATACGAAAGTATTTGAAAATAAACATACTGTGTCGCTCAGAATATCAGATGGAGGAGCGTTTGGTGGAGGCGGAGGTATCATATCGAGCAATGTCTGCTTGGGTGGACTTCTCTTTCCACTCAGGGTACCTCCTTTATTTCGTCCATTCGAACTTCCTGCAATCATCATTGTATCATTAATCTCCAAATATTTATTCATTGTCTCGCAAAAATATAATCTAAACATTACATCATGGTAGGTAGTGAAAAATGTGACGAGTACCTACACCAAAAGCTATGTGTATACTTAAAATGTGAGGCAAACAAAAAAAAACTTGATAAAATATTTATATAATCGAAGTATTGGTGTATTTTGAAATCCATATTACAGAAATCCTTTGCATCAAACATTCTCAGTTATCTCATCATTGTAAATGATTCAATTCAAATAACTCTCATTGTATTATCAGTTCCATCTTCAAAGATCAGATGATCATTGATTAACCATTGGCTTTATCCATTTTATATATTTGGATGTTAGACCATTAGTTTTATCTATTGCATGTCTAGACGATTTCTTGTTGCATAATCTCATTTATGATCCTTTGTTCATATATCATGTGACTCCTTTGTTCAATTACTATTAATTTCAATATCAATTTCATCTATAAACAACAATGTCTATTACACCGAGTGCTCACTATGCAACACCCAACGAGGGAGAGTACAGTTAGTGTGACGTACTGCACTGGGTGAGTAACCTTCACCGTTAACATTGTTACGCGATTCTTATTGATCGGTTTATCTCACTTTCAATAATCAAGAGAAATCTTCGCTACTCTAATTGTTATATAACATTCCCGCCAGTCTTACGAAGAATAAGCCTTTATATATAATCTACGTCCAAAAACGACTCAATGAAAAACTTTCACGACAAATTTTTTGATGCATGAGCCGAAATGTCAACCAGTTTAATTAAAAGTGCTTAAACTCTAGGAGACTTGATCAACTTCTTAAAGAAGTTGAAGAATTGGATTTATCGCTAATCAATCAACAGTCACCGAAAAAAGAAATAATACCAACTACATGAAGCTCAAAAACAGTCGAGGAAAAACTCGAAAGAACTGAGGAATATGTTGGCATTCTTGAATCCATCAACAATAACCGGTTCGATTATATTCAAATAACTTAGAATGCATCAACAAAAAAGGAAAAAATTCAGAAATGGTTGATCAAGAAAAAGGATTTTAAGACTACTAAGCGAAGGAAGAGAAGTTAAAACAATTTTAAAATTACATGGAAATGATCATAAGTTAGTCACTCGTCACCTAAGTCAGGGATACACAGTTGAAGACCCAACTCATTCGCAAAAAATATCTAAAACTGCCCCACAAGTAACAGTAAACCTATCACAGTTATAATTACCGACACTTAGCGGTGGTCCAGAAATATGGAGGCAATCCTGCAACAGTTCTGATGTCGCAGCTCATTCCCAAACTATACCAGCCCCTCAGAAACTGAATTATTTAATGTCCTGTCTGGAAGGAGAAAGTTTACTAACTATTAAAGGCTACGATATTGCCTTCAGAACTGTGACATCATTAGAAAGGTTTTAAATGTAATATTCGGAGAGGAATCCATTATAAAATTCTTATATGACAAATTACAATCTATCAAACGGAAGAGTCGGGAATAGAAAGCAGCAAAAGAAGCAAATGACAGAACACTCCAACAACTAGAAGCAATCGGCAAAAATTTGAAACACTGCAATATTGAAAGTTCCATAGAAAGTAGCTATTTAGGTGCTACATAAAATTTGCTGACAAAGAACAGAATCTTAGTGAATAATTAAACTCCGACAATTATTAGGAAAATTGGTGCAAATAAATGAAGTAGCTGGAAGTCAATCCTACGATAAGGTGAAGAAAAACAGTATCAAGGTCATCAAGGAAGAAACTTCAGTCTTAGTCACAGTGAAACAACTCAAATTAAGCGGTCCTAAGTCAATCATGTATTCAAAGAAATTTGCATGTGCACTCTGTAACAAAACTATTGGGATAACGAATGTTATTTTTATCCCACGCTCAGACAGCGAACGGAATGTTTGAAAAAAAACCTCAATTGTATTCAAACTGGATATAAAACAAATACTGTAACGGAGGAAAACGCTGATGTTTCACTGCAAAAATAATACTGTACCGTGTTATCCAAAATGCAATGTAAATAACTATTAAATCAAATAAAGGAACGAATTCAACAATTACAATTAATTCAGCAAGTCAACTAATAGAGTCAACAAGGTCACGAAATTCGAATAAGCCGGAAATTCAAGAAATTTTAGCATTATCTGACATCGGCTCACAATCATCTTTTATGGCAAAGGAGGTAGCAAACTGATTGAACATAGAAAAAATCAAAAATTTTTTAGATTTTCTCATTTGGTAATAAAACATCGAAATCATGTCGGATTGCCAAAGTAGAGGGTAGAGTAAGAACCAAAGCAGAAAAAAATCATAATATTCGAAGTCAACACGATAATCTATCTAACGAAACAATTATAAGCAACTAAACTGTATTGCAACGAATTATCAATTACGACAAATTAAGACTAATTAAATAGTCAAAAACGATATTGGAAATGTTAGACATACCTATCGGAACCGATCAGTTCTTCAACCTATTCAATTTGGCAAAATTCAAAAATATGAAAATTTGGAATCTGTATTTAATGAAGCTTCAATGAATATAGAACTTCTTTTAAACGACAATCATTTCAACACAAATATTCCTGAAAAGAGCCAAGGTAAGCAGGATAAAATTCTTGGCATGGAACTGAAGATATGATCTAAATAACTTGAGACCCTGGATCGAAAAAGAACAAAGAGAACAATCCTACAATTCGTAGCCTACCAATACGAACTACATCCATTAAAGAATGATTGTAACTCCATTGGAACTATTAACAATACTCTTTGGAGCACGAGCTGCTAAATTCGTTACACACTTGGAAAAACGCCAATTATATCACGTTAAACTCGACGTGTGCATTACGCTGAATGTGAAGTTAGTCCGAATTATTATCCAGATTCATGGGGAGTTGTATTGAACGAATGTGAAAAACGGGGTCCTTATTTTGCTATATCTGAAGTAATTGTAACCCAGCTGGCATTACAACAGAAGGACCTTTTCCTGCTAAACTTAAGGATTATGAACTGTGGTGGAAGAACCAAAGCAGCAGAAAATATGAAGAATCGATTATAAACTGCTGGCAAAGAATCAAAGCAGCAGAAAATATGAAGAATCGATTATAAACTGCTGGCAA